GGGGTGAGCGCTCCGCTCCCCACCAGCCCCGCTGCTCCTGTGCTCCCAGCGGCCATGGCCGGGCTGTTTGTTGGCTCTTGTCCGAGCGCTCGGGAAGCTCTCGGTGAGCACCACGATGCGGACACAGTCACCGTGGACCCGGAGAAGCAGGGCTGCCCCTGAGCCTCCCGCTGTCCGTGCTCGGCTCCCGCCGGGCAGCCCGGGCTCGCAGGGACCTACTGAGACGGGAGCTGCTTCCCGTTGAGGTGCTGTTTGCAGAGAGGTGAATTCTTGTTACGAAGTTGAGGGTGTGTCTTTTGTTGTGTAGTTTTAGGCTAAAATCTTTCCTTCATATTGGTGTAGGTCTGGCGCCTGCACAAGTTCAGTCTCTTAGTTAAACAGCCTGGTAAGGTGCTGTCAGATGCTCTCAGTGGTTTCCCCCGGGTCTGGTGCTGAGGCTTTGCTTGTTTCATTGCAGATTTTCATAAATAACGAGTGGCATGATGCAGTCAGTAAAAAAACCTTCCCTTCCATCAACCCAGCAACTGGAGAAGTCATCTGCCAGGTTGCAGAGGGCGATAAGGTAAAGTTCTCTTGGTGGGATCTGTTTGTATTCAGTGCGAGCAGGTACACGGGGATTGCAGGGGAAGACACCAGCACAGCTCTGCAGTGCCTGACCTGTACAAACACCATGTCAAGAGCTGCTTGTGCTCTTCCTCGACTGTTGCTTTCAGCAGAAACCCTCTGGCTTTTCCTCTCACCAGTGCCACACTGGGACTGGGAAGGATGGAGGGGAATGGATGAGTTGGGAGGTCTGGGCACCGTCATGGTCGGAGGTTGTGGGGCAGGCTGTGGCAGAGCTGAGGTGGTGTTTCCCAGCAATTCTGGCTTCCTTCTATAGTCTGGAAGCTTGTTTGTGTCCCCCACGGGAGGGGTTAGGGAGGGAAACTGTTATTTGCTTGTCCGTGGTAGACTGGCTTGCCCTGGCAAGACCATTGCAGCAAGCCAGGACAGAGAACCAACAAGGAACCAGTTAATGCCCTGACAGGACAAAATGATGGATTAGAGGTGTCTGATCAAGGACAAAACTCCTTTAGACTGTACTGGTGCAATCAAAACCTGAGTGAGTCTGAGAAGCACACTTCTGGAGCTTTTCCTTGTTCTGGGGTGCAAATGTTAACCCAGCAGATGACATGGTGGAGATAACTTGGTGGCGTTTGTCCTGTGCTTAGCTGAAGCGACAGCGAGTGTTCAGGTTGCTGCTTATGGGGTGAGTGGCCCAGGGGATGCAGGTGTCTTGCAGTGAGGCAAGTCAAGGCTGCAAGTTCTTGCCCCAGAAAGGCCTGTGTGAGCAGCCAGGGGCTGTTTTCTTCTGGAGACCAGGGAGAGCTTCAGTTGTGTTTTGAAAGAGTGAGTGGGGGCTGGCTGCTCCTTTCTCACCCTGTTGCCTTCCCTCCCCTGCAGGCAGATGTGGACAAGGCCGTTCAGGCAGCCAAGGCAGCTTTCCAGCTGGGCTCGCCCTGGAGGAGGATGGATGCTTCTCACGCGC